TGTGTGTGTGTGTGTGTGTGTGTGTATGTATGTATGTATGTATGTATGTACGTATGTATATATATATATATATATATATATATACGAGAACGCTACCATGGTACTAGTGCACATGAGCTTGTTTTAACTTACGTCAGAACGTATAAAGACCTTTGAATGCCGTGTACAAACGCGAAAGTCTATTCATCGTTGAACCTACTCTAGAAAACGTTGGCCCATCCCGCCTCCAATTCTCCCAAAATATACTTTCGAACATGTTATATATATACACGTGTGTGTGTTCAAATGTATGTATGTGCAGACCTCTGCGTGTATGTACAGATGTATGTGTGTGTGTATATAAAAACATATAGATATAAACGTATAGATCGAAGTTGAATATTATACACAACTACCGCGAACCGAACAAGGCCAAAACCACCCGCAGCATAAATTTTAACGAAGCCTTACTTTGGCCCTGACTTCTTTGGCGACAGACCCCCAATCCGCAACACCGTTTTTATCTATTGCATTCAGTAGCGCGAGGTCTTGATCGGCACTGGCTTGGTGAGAAAGCAATGTGAGCCAACACACTTACTGTTTAGAGAGCATTTGGGTATTTGAGGAAATGTGTGCTTGTTTGCGTAGCCTAACGCATACGCACTTCCTCCTATCGACCAACTGATATACATGCTATCGATGTAAAGGACTGGTAGTGAATATAGACACGATTAGAACTCTTTGAAGGATATAGAGATGCCTCAGGGCAGCCCTGAACAGTTCATTTTTCGAATTAAGCTATCTATATTATATCGCAATGAACGACGAATACTGTCACATATAATTAATCAATCGGTGCCTAAGCACAGCCTAATTCGTATGTACTTCCGTGTGTGGGCAACGAACGGTAAACACTGTTCTCAACAACTGATCAATCAGTACCTAAACACAGTTTAATCCATACACTAAACTGTGTGGGCGCCACAAAATGAAGTGTGATTTCGTCCACCGAGGCATTCGAGAGTGTAATCGCATAAGAATAAAGCAGCAGCGTGCCATCCACATCAAATTACCGGTCAGCTCAGCAGCAGTCTGAGCAATACTTGCTGCTATGTGCACGTGTAGTATTGGATATAGATATCCAAGATCGGAAGTGACTATGCGTAGACTATAGTGATTATCCTACATTACCCATTACATATTTGTGGTATACATATATCTATAAATACACCGATCCCTCTCTCTAAATGGTGCTATTCAAACAGTCATACCTCCAGCTCTCCTGGAACGGCGCTATGAAAGCCACATCGATGACCCGATAACTGTGCGTCCGCTTATGAGTCGCAGGTTCTCTCCCTGATGCGAAGCATTTCATGCATATAGGCACATCGGTACACTCCACGCACCGAATGTGTACTGAATTCGTCAGATCCTCTCCACAATATCTGCATACACATGGTTCTAGGTATAGTCCTATACCTGTTTTTGTAATCGTCTCGACTGGTGTACTGCGTAAGGGAATAGCAAGTCCTACAGTCAGTAAAGTGTAGTATGAGTTAGCTGATTTTGCGGCTGCTTAGCATGCACAGATGAATATGCACTGCAGATGCCAGGAGCAACCACCCACTGAAGTAGAGCAGCGCACCAATGCGAGCGTGAGACGTTGACCAGTGTAATTTGCGGCAAATAACGGGCTTGTGAATAGGTTGATAATAAAGCATGCATTTTATTAGTACACTTTCATCGAATCCGCACAGTTACGTATACAACTATAGCATGCTAGCTCAGATTCCCAACTGAGTCCCAGAAGCGAATCATTTGACATCTACATGATTATGAACTGAAAAGTGTTTTGAACTGTTGACATGTACGCATGTCGCAATACGCACGAAGAAGCGTAATTGCACACGAATAGGATGTGCAGAGGATTGTGTGGTAGGACGCATACTCTACAAACAGGCCTTGGCCTCACATTAGGTAAACGTAAGCTCCACACCATTTAAAAGTGCCTGATTGTACAATAGTGCACTGACATACGACAATCTCAGAATAAATACACATTCTAGTTTGGATAGACGTCGTTATCAGTGAAAGATCACATCGTCGCACGCCAACGGCTGCTCAAGTAACTAATCATACCTGTGGACTGACAAGTGTGATGTACGTGCACCTACCAACACTAATACACATCCAATATATTGTCCTTCGGGAAGTCGAACTAGAAGCCAATAAGTCGTACACCACGTGCATGCAAATACTTATGTGAATCTTGTTCATGCAAAAGAAAACATACGCTTCTGCCTCCGTTCGTTCTGCAATCCGTTTGCGTTTCTTCTCTCGCTCTTGCATTTGTAAGGCATGCTTTCGAGCCTTCGACTGCCGTGCCTTTTCTGCATTTCCACCTGATTTTGGTTTGCTGGGAGAAGAGTTGGGGTTGCCATCAGGTCTCAGCATGAGACGAAACGTGATATAAGTGGGTCAAGCTTGCCGAAAATACAGAAACCCCGGTTGTCAGGCATTTGATCACTACCGAACAGGGTGTTCGTCCACGATTGACCACTATTCAAGAGGATATCCAGATAAAATTTATGAAGCACCAAACAAAGGTGCATACAGAATCGTACAGTAATAGTGACCGAAACTACCAAAAAAAAATACTAAGCTGATAAATAAAACGCAACAACTATATATA